CATCCATGAGGAACATTTCCCACTCCCACTGTGAGGTGCTGCCAGCCCTGGGCTGCCCTGGCACTGCCAGGCAGGGCTGGAGTGTTCCCTGAGAGGGGGCAGAGCTTCCCCTGTGCCCTGTGGGACAGAGCCGGCCCAGCCTGGGCTGCCCTGGCACCCCTGCTGCTGCCAAGGGAGCCACACCTGGGTATCCTGGATCTCTCAAACACATCATGCAAGGTAACAGAATGTTCATGTGGCACACTTGCCTGCTTTGAAACTCTTAAACCTTAGATTGCAGTGCCTACTAAAATGGTGTTAATTGTTAACAATTAATTAAGCTGCAAAATGAGCTTTTTTGCTGGTGTTACAGTTAAGTTTTCTGTAGTACTCCTGCACTGCTACACATCACAGAACACCAGGATTTGCTGTTCAACAGTGCTAATGTTGGTTCCTGCTGCTGATGGTTAAATATTAACACACAGGAGTAGTTTACATTCAGAAGGGTATTCACCAAAATATTGGGGTTTCTGTGCACTCTGTATATCAGAGCAAGCAACACATTCAAATGTGATGTAAACACAAGCAAGGTAATGCTTCAGTGAGTGTTTTGGTTCAGGATGCAGCCTAGGTAGTCTAAAATAAAATACCAACAATCCCCATCTGTGTTTTTAATCTCAGACAAACTGAAAAAGTATTTAAAATGTGAAAATTGAAACCCAGCTATTTCAATAACCATTGGCTGGAGCACACATCCCAAGATGGGCCTCCAGTTCCATGTCCACTATTTACTTCTGGATACTCTAATAAAAAATCCTTATTGTTAGCATTTGAGTTCTTGAAAATGTCCGTCTTTTTACACCAGGCCTAACATGACTTACAATCCTGCTGTCCCACGTGTACATCTCCATTTGTAACACAACTGGGCAGTCCTTCCATGCTGTTTGATCCTCAGGGAGTCCTGAATGGCTGCTGCAGGAGTGATGTGGCCTTCTCCCAGCTCAGAACAGCAAACCCTTTGTTTCCTGTGGTGCAAGAAGTGAGCAGTTGAGTTTCTTGTGACCCCTGTGTTTTACACACGGGCTGTTTGTGCATGGGGATGGCTCAGTCCCTTCAGGAAATGAAGCACTGAGCCAGTGCCTCACCAAGCAATCGCTCAGTGCTGGACCCCAACTCCCACAGCAGAAAGCCTGTAAGGCCTCACCTGGATGATGGATCCTTTAAGGGTGGGAGTTGTTGATGTTTTGTGCTGTTCTGTCAGGGTAAGAGGCTGTGAGTGCTTCAGGTGTGTCACTGCATAGCAATCCTGCTCAGGCCACAGCTCTGCCTAGGCAGGCACTCAGCAGGATTCAAAAGAAGAGAGAAAGCCCAAGGGTGCTGTGTGTGGAGTGCTCTCAGCAGGCCTGCCAGGGGCTCTGGAACCCCCAGAGAACACAGAATTCATTCACAGGCAGCTGCTGTGGCACCTGAGCAGGCAGCAGCAATCCGGTTTAGTGCTCCTTTGCTGTCTCAGCTCAGTCTTGGTGAGATATCCAAGTATTGTGTATGTTAAATGCCTGAACTAACACAGGACTCTGTGGCAAAAGTTGGAATTGAAGGAGCTTGAGAAGAAAATCATTGATGTGGTTCCTGCCTTCTATGAGAGGGCATTGAGGTGGCAGCACTGCTGCTCCTCTGGCCTTGGCTGTCCCTGCCTGGCTCCTGTTGCACACAGAGGCTCTGGGGCTGCTCCTCCTGGCCATGGCAGCTAAACTGGCAGTCTGTCCTGCAGCAGGAACTGTGTCTGTCTGTCTGTCTGTCTGTCTGTCCTGCAGATGGCAGGGGCTGAGCACTGTGGCAGGGGGGAAGGGAAATGGGTTCTCAGCCTCCATCTCCTGCTTCCCCAGCAATGGGGCTGAGGTTTTGAAGTGGTCAGGATTGTTCTCCTCACTGCTCTCCTGCAGTAAAGGAGTACATCTGTGTACATCTGTGCCTTCACTGGGCACTCGTGGGCTGGGTTACCCCTGGAAGGAGAGAGCTGAAAACCTTCTCTGGGTGTGCAGGCAAACCCACACACCTGAGAAACACCTGAGAAACAAACCCCACACCTGAGAGACAAACCCCACAGCTGAGAGACAAACCCCACAGCTGAGATACAAATCCAGCACCTCCCTGAAGGTGCTGAGGGCTTGATCCCAGGCCCCTGCTCCTGTGCTTCCTGGGCAAGTGAATTACAGCTCTTTTTTTTCATGTGATCTTATGAAAAACGCCAATCACTTGGTTTGGAAGTTTTAAAATTCCAAGAGTAATAAAATGGTTATAAAAATAGTGATATAATTAGAGTAATAATAATTTGAACAATTGAGATTAGGACAATATGAGATAATAAATACAAAGAGTTATGGACAGTTCTAGTGCCTTTTCTGGGCAAAATAAACCCGAAAAAGGCCCCACGGTAACAGAGGATTAATATATGATGTATAAATTTTATTTGAACAAATTATTTTGTTTGGTCACTGTCAATTTTTTTGTTTTGAATCATAATGGCATCTTCAGGACTGAGGAAGGTGGGAAGAACTCGATAATGGAGCAATAAATTCTCTTTCTCTGAAAGATTTAGGGGTTTTGTGGCTGCTGTTTTGGTGGGAGTCCTCTCTTTAACAAAAGTATCTTAGTATAGTTTCTATTTTAACCTTATGTTGTAACTTAAAACTATATTTAACACACTACTAAAAAAATGAATACAGCATCACTTCTAACATAACACAGATAGCATTCATTTGAATATTTGCCAAAAGCCAAACATAAACCACACATTTTTCACAATCTTCACAGATCACAGAGCCCCCCAGGTGCTGGGGACCCCAAACCATCACCTGGGGCCACCTTTTGGGGAAAACAAAGCCCAGGAGGGATTTCCCAGCACCTGCCCAGCTGTGCCTGCAGAACCTCCTGGGATGGGCACTCTCTCAATTCCTCCACTGAAAAAAAATTCTCTCTTTCATCAAGATGAAGAATTTCCTCTGTGCTTCTGGTGTCTATTACCTACAAAATAATTAAGAATTTATTGATGCCATGACATATTTACTCATTTAAAACTTTGTCAGAAATTTGTTCTCAATGCACTTAATTTCATTGCAGTATAGCAATAAAATATTGCCATATAGCAGAGCACAAAAGCTTTTCTGTCCTTTCTCTGGGACTCTTAAAAACAACCAACCAACCAACCAAATAATTGTTACTTGCAATCAGCTAAACCTGAGCAGGTTGGTTTAATTCTGTTACATCCTTCCTGTATTCTTGAGGGGTCTGGCCAGTTCAGAATATATATATATATATGTGTGTGTATGTATGTATGTATGTATGTGTGTGTGTATATATATATATATATGTATGTATGTATGTATTTTTATATATATATATATACACACATAAAATATATATTGTCAAATACTTCATGCAGCAGTATGCAATAAATTCAGTTTATTGTATTTCAGACTTGAATTTTGGATTAAATTGTCCAATGCACTTAAGAGCTAGTCTGGGGGCCTGGAATTATTTTAAGGAACAAGACCAGAAGTGCAGATGTTTTCCCCTGCCACTTCCAGTACAGCTGTTTTTCACCCCAGCAGCGCGGTTTGGTCTGAGCAGAGGATGCAGAGACCTCAGCAATTCCAAAGGAATCATTGCTGTGCTAAAAATGGACAAAACCTGCCAGGTAATGGCAGCAGTGTGCACCTGGGGAGGGAAGTACCAGAATGTTCTGTCTGAGGTACAGGAATCAGGGCTGGGGTTCCTCCTCTGGGCTTCTGGGGCTTTCCTTGAGAGCCTTTATTGTCTGACAAAGAGAGCCTGGGCCAGAGGAGTGCAGAATGCTCCCAGTACTGATATTCCAAGTCCTGCAGCCTTTTCAACATTTAATCTTGTCTCCGGGTTAAAGGGTACAGATTCTGCTTTGGTCAACTGGCTGAGCTGGGTGGAGCTGTGCCAGGAAGAGACAAGCATCAAATGTGTAACATTAAAAGTAAGAACTGTGCTTCTGAGTGTAAAACATCTAAACCCTCACCTAATTTGAAATAGAATTTAAAAAGCAAAGGCAGATCTGTCTTTATATATTATGAACTAGCAGATGCTGGCAGAAATTTACTTGCACCTGGTGATCTCCTGCTTCTTTATCCAGATGCCCTCCTACAAGATGACCCACCTCACTGCAAGGGAGTTTGATGCTGCTGCTTCTCAGGATTGTATTCCATCACCCACTTCTGTTTTTAATGACAATGTAACTCTTCCAAGTCCTGTTATCACTTACGAAGTGCTGGCTTAGTCTCAAACGTAGATAGGAATTAATGTCTCTTATCACCTTCAAAACAAACTCGTGTGAAAATTTATGTGATGGAAAGCTGTTTGTAACAACCCAAGGTCAGGGGTTCCATCAATGCCTCCAATAATCGGCCACTCACTCAAAGAGCCGGACTCGACGATCCTTTAAGTCCTTTCCAGCTCAGACTAAGCAAGAAGAGAAATGACTCTTGCCAGAACTCCTGAACTGCTTACTGCACTGATCCTGGCTGCAATTTCCGTCCCAAAGCATCTTAAGAGCTTTGATGCGTCTGTGGCGCGTCTGCCCTGCCTCACCTCAGCTGACCCCTGTCCCCACAGCGCGGCCCGAAGGTGTGGGCCGGGAGGGGGCTGAGGGCGCCTATCTCGGACAGGGATGGGGCCCGTTGGGTGTGTGTGAGCACTGCCAGCCTCGGTGGGGCGGAGGGGCCCGCACAGAGAGCCCGAGCCGTGTCCCGGCCCGCACAGAGACCCCGAGCCGTGTCCGGGCCCGCACAGGGACCCCGAGCCGTGTCCCGGCCCGCGGGGCCCTCAGGGCGCTCCCGCCGCAAGATGGCGGCGCCGCAGCCCCGCCCCGCCCGCCTCGCCCAAGATGGCGGCGCGGCCCCGCCCCCGAGCGCCCGGGCCCCGCACGCGGCCGGGCCGGGCCGAGCGCGCGCCGCCTCGCGCGGTCGCAGCCGTGACGTAAGCGGGGCAGGGGCGCATGCGCGGGGCGGGCGGCGATGGCGGCGGCGCGGGCCCGCGCAGGTACGGCGGGCGCGGCGCGAGGGGCCGGGGGCGCGCGGGGCCGGGGCTGCCCCGGAGCGGGGCCGGGCGGGGCGGCAGCGGCACCGGCACCGGCACCGGGGGCAAGGAGGACGCGGAGGAGGGGGCGGGAAGGCCCCGCTTCCCGCGCGCCCGGCCCGGCGCCGCCGCCTCCGCCTCCCTTTGCCTTTCTGCCGTGCGGCGCTTTCCGGCGGGCGGCGGGGCCCGCGCACGCGGCCGGCAGCGGAGCCTGCCCGGGGTAAAGCAGCTCTGGCGGGCCCGGGGGGAGGCGGCGGGGCCGGGGCGGGCCCGGCCCGGCTCGGCTCGGCTCGGGCCGCGTGGTGCCCGGGCCCGGCCCCGCCGTGCGGAACGCGAGCGGCGCCGGCGCTGCCCGGGCACGGCCGGGGAACAAACAGCGAGTGTGAACTGGGGGCCGCGCAGGCACCTTCCCTTCCCGGGGCCTGGAATGGGAATTTTCGCGTTTTCAGACGCGTTTGTCCCGGATTTAAGAAGTGGGAGATGGCGATTGGGCCTTGGGAAAATAACGTAACTTGCCTTACAACTTTCTGCGTTCCCCATCCGCGACGCGTGTTCCCCACCAGGCTTTAGGGATGTAAAACTAATATTTCGAGACTTTTTTTGTTTTTTCTTTTCTGGTATTGAGGTTTGATTTTGATTTTTTTGTTTTGGGTTTTTTGTGGTTTTGATATTTTTTTTTCTTGCCCTAGAATTAAAATAACCTGCCGGTATTTGTTTCAAAGATTGCAGCTGCGCTTTATTTTATATTATTTTATTTTATTTCCCTAGATTGCAGTTCCGGAAGATAGACACCCGGGCGGTTCTACCTTCTGCCATGGCTCAGTTTGGAGGACAGAAAAATCCCCCTTGGGCTACTCAGTTTACAGCCACGGCGGTGTCTCAGCCAGGTCAGTTTACACTCGGTGTTTGAGCCCTGACCCCTCGGGGATTTGGCGATTCCATTCTTGGCTGTGCATTTCAGAGTGCCACGACATATGCTGACTGACTTATCCAAAGTCTGTTTAGGTGCTTTAAATCAGGAGTTTTTTCCCACAATAGAGCCTTTAAAAGTCGTTGCCTGATGCTGTCTGTTGGTTTTGTTTGTTATTTGGGTTTCTTGAAGGGTGTGAGTAAAATCCCCCGTGAGTTTGTATTGATTGTTTCAGTCGATAAACAACATATCCAGTTAGTCACAGCCCAAGATGTGTAAATCAAATTACCTCCTATTAAATTACATGGTTCTGGCCTAAACAATACCAGCTCTACTAAGGTGTTACAGATTTCCTAAGTGCTGCCTGAGTTTTATTTCCTGGGCAGCCTGAATCGACGTTTACAAATTATTTTATTCATTTGTTTTGTTAATCGATTAGAAATAATCAAATAATCCACATAGTGGGAAGTTCTGTGGAGTTTGTTACGTGGGTGGGAAGGGGGTAATTTATTTTTTAATGCTGAGATAGAACTCAAAGGTCCCTATAACCAGAGGTATTACCCTTGTAATGGCAGAGAGTTTCCTTTGATTTAGCTGAGAAGTGTTTTTAATTGCAAGGCACTGGTTAACAAACCTGTCTGGCTCCATTTGCATGTTCCCTTACAGCACAGAAGGTTTGAGGCAGGATGTAAAGTTTGATGCATGATGAATTTTGGTGCTTCCATTTCTGGAGCCACCTCGTGCTTTTCTTGAGTACAGAAATTTGTTAATGAAATGTTGGAGGTGTGTTGTGCAGAGTGAGGAGAGCTCAGCAATGCTGTGGCACTCAGAGGGGTCTGGGTTTGGCATGGAGTTCATGTCACACCTCCTTTGGCAATGCCAGCCTGGCAAAGCTCGGGAATTGTGGCCGTGTTCAGAAGGGTCCCAGAGACGAGAATGTTGGCTCCATGTTTCAGAAGGCTGATTTATTATTTTATGATATATATTACATTGAAACTATACTAAAAGAGCAGTAGAAAGGATTCCATCAGAAGGCTGGCTAAGCTAAGAATGGAAGAGGAGTGGAATGATAACAGAGGTTTGTGTCTCAGACAGAGAGTCCGAGCCAGCTGGCTGTGATTGGCCATTAATTAGAAACAACCACACGAGACCAATCCCAGATGCACCTGTTGCATTCCACAGCAGCAGATAACCATTGTTTGCATTTTGTTCCTGAGGCCTGTCAGCTTCTCAGGAGGAAAAATCCTAAGGAAAGGATTTTTCATAAAATGTGTCTGTGACAGGGAATGTGTGACATTTTTGGAGGTGTGTGACATCTCTGGGGTGGGAATCCTTCTCCTCTCCTGACTCAGTTCCTTTCCCAGGGTGACTCCTGTGTCTGCAGTGTTTCCCATGGCACTGCTGCACTCACTCTGTGCATCCCAGGGAGTGACTGCATCCTCTTCCTTCCCCTGGGATTGTTCTGCCCAGCTGCTGTCTCAGTGCATACTTGTTCCCCTGCTTTTTTAATTTTTAATACAAACCAAGAGCACAGGAAGCATCTTTTGGGAGGTGAGCAGTGCTCTCTGACCCTGCTGGGAGCTGAAGAATGGTGTTTGTGCTTGAGCTTGCCCCTTTCAGTGTGAAGTTGTGACCTTCAGGGAGGCTGTATTCCCAAGGAAGAGGTGCTGAGAGCTCAGGTGTGCTGACCAGCCTCACCTGCTGCTCAGCACCCAAGAAATGGTGCAGATTGGATTGTCCTTGTGACCCCCAGTGATAGTAAACTCTATTTAGAATCATCCTTTCAGAGGGCTGGCCAAAGCTGTTGCATGTATTTATGCATGGCAGCTGTTTTTATCCAAGTGTCAGGTTCCTTCTGCAGAGCTTTGAGGTGCTTGGCTATGAGGGAAGGAGATCTGGATTTTTGTAACACAAACAACATGATATATGGTTATTTTCAAGCTGTCAGAAGCAGTGAGTGATGGTGTTAGAAACCCAATTTGATTATTACAAAAAAGGTAGGATCAGTGTTGGGGGTTTGTGTTTTTCATTGGTTTGGTTTAGGGGTTTTTTAAAATTTCTGATGTGGAGGCTGTCTTGGCCATCCCTGGTGAAGAAGTAACTAAATGAGTTAAAGCTGTTCATTATTAAGGGTTGGCACGCTGGTTGTGGACTGAGGGCTGTGTAATGAAGGGTCTGTGATCCCTCTGGGAGGGTTTATTAATTACTCTCTGAGGAATTAAAAGAGGGATGGGCAATTCCAGGTGCCAGCAGAGATGGATGTGTGAAGGGAAACTCCTACATGGAACACAGTGAATTTTTGCCTGCTCCTCATCTCATTTTGAATTTTGAAGATGTTTCCCTGACTTCTAGGGATTTTTAGGGTTTAGATGTAGGAAGAGGGACTACTAAATACTGTCTTTGTGTTGTTTGCAGTGTCTATAACCCAACCCAGAGCTGCAGCCTGGGAGCCCAGGTTCTGTCTGAGCCTGCCAGCTGGAGGTGCCACTCAGTGTTTGGTGCCAGTTGGGGTTATTTGCCCTGCATCTGAAGGAAGGCATCTCCATCACTACTTACTGAGATGGTTACAAACCCTGAGGAGCTGTTGTTTGCCACTGCAGATGCTTGTGGCAGTCAGATGTGGATTGCAGACTCAGTCTGATTCATTCGGTCTCGTTTTTCTGTGTGATTTTTCCTTTTTGTTCTCTTTTTTTTTTTTTTTTTTATTTTTAACTAGTAATGCAAGCTCAGTTGCCTAATTAATTGGAGCCTGTTTGGCCAAGATGAGTACACAGATGAAAGGCAGTCAGATGAAAGTCCTGGAATACTTTGGGGCAAATCAGTGGGAACAAGATCCAGCTTTGAAAAACTTGTTACTACAGGTGTTATCTTCTGAGAGGATCTGGGCTGCCTTTTGTCTTTGCCCTTTCTCAGTAGGTTGATCTGCAGTGTTGCAGACTATAGACACCCAGTTAATGTGAAATGCTCAAAAAGTGACAGTAGAGATGGTAAAATTTCTTGGTTTTCCTTAGTTGACAAAATGGGATAAGGGTCTTAGGATGGGCTGGGGATTGCTTGAGATAATTGTGGGTTATGCTGAAGTGGAAATTGCCATAGTGAAGCTGAATAGTCCCAGGATCTGGTTGGGACACAAAGTAGGAGAAAACTTGTGAAATTTGCTTTTGGTAATGCTTCCCAACTCCATCCCCCTGTGCTGGAACAACTTTGGGATGGAACTTTGGACTGAGTGACAATAGCTGGCATAGTCACACACGTTCAAAGGTGACAGCAGGCAGCAGATTTCTGCACTAATGGGAATTTCTGCTCGGTGTATGGAAGGAAGAGGAGAAAGATGAATGCACTGACTGAGCCAGCAAAGTGTTCCAGCCAAGAAAAGTCCCAGGATACAGCAGCAAAGCTTGTAAATTATATTTAAAGGTCTGTTTAAGGTGTATTAAGTGAGACAGTGGTGAGGGTCCAGTTGAGGGTGTCCTTCTGGATGGTCCAAGCTGCACATTCAGATTGCAGCTGGTGATCAAGCAGGAGGATGAAGACAGTGGAGGGTTTGTCAGGAGAGAAGCCTCAAATTTTGTTTGCTGGCTTCTAAAGAAATGCAAATTTTGGAATTTTCCAGGGGGGAAAGTTAATGATATGCTGTACACTGTAGAATGCTTGATTTCACTTTTAAAATCCTGTTACTTCCTGGAATGCTTGTGTGGCAATATTTGATAGAGATCATAGTGATAGGAATTATTTTCAGTGCTTTATGTATTTCTCTCCTGTTTCATCCCAAAATTACAAGATGATCAGTGCCATCAGCAAGGTCTGCTCTGCTGGAAAGGGCAGTGTGGTGTGGTGGGAAGGGTGACATTATTATTCAGGACCTGTGGAGAGGGTACAGCATTATTTATGGTGACAGTCACCAGCTACAAGCGGGGTTTCACTGCATCCCTGGATCAGGAGTGAAAGGTTCCTTTTGCATCAGTAAGAAGAGTGCACAAACTCTGCAGGAACACTGTAAATCTGTTCCTCATTCCCCTGTGTGTCTCTGAGGGCTTTGGAAGAGAGGAGAGCTGTGTTAATCCTGAGTGTTGCTCAGTTCTGAAAATGGCTGCCTGACCTGTTTTTGCTGGCTGTGTTTCCCTGCCCAGTTTCTCTCTGGTTTTATTTAAACATGTGCACTAGGCTGATAGTTTAGTGAAGTGATATTTGATCATGCAGCTGCCCATAACTTTTTACAAAACTCCTGCCAGAGAGGGAGCAGGTTTCCAGATAGGTTTGCAGTTTTTTGCTGAGATTTGCATTTTGCAGGGCTCTTTGTCACCCAAGAGATCCCTCTGTAAACGTTGAGCATACCTTGTTCAAAAGCACAGCCTGTGCATAGCTGCTCCTCATGATTTGCTTATGTTCTGTGGTGAATTAAAAGCCAGCATGACAATAAAATAAACGAATCTTTCCTTCCAGGCAGCGTGAGCCTGGGCAGCACAAACCCTTCCTACTGAGAGCTGCAGAGAGCTTGAGTCCCCTTACACATGCAGGCTGATCAAACTCTCTGTTGTTCCAGGGCTGCTCCTTCTCCACCAGCCCCCCTTCACAGGGCACAAAGACAGCACCGAGTGAAGCAAGAACTTGGTGATTTCAGAGGACACGTTCCATGAGCCTCTGTTTCACAGATGCTGTTACAGTAAAGCTTTCTCTTGCCCTCAGTAGAATGCAGTGTATTCATTGACAGAGCAGAGCAGCAATCTTCATTTGGCTCATCCAAATAAAGGTTGTCCAAGGAAGTACACGGGGGAGGGGGTGGGTGCAGGTGGGGATGACAACTACAGAGCTGGAAAATCATGAGCGTGGAAGCAGAGATGTGTAATGGTCTCTGCTCCTCTGCTGTGCTTCACTATTGGCAGATGAATTTAGAAGAATAGTTTGGTAGATTAATCTAGAAGAAAAGCTTGGTAGATGAATTTAAAAGAAAAGCCTCTGTGACCGTGTTCACAGGGGTCCCAGGATGAGGGAAGAGACGAGGATCTGACTCCATGTTTCAGAAGGCCTGATTTATTATTTTATAATACATATTACATTAAAACTATACTAAAAGAATAGAAGGAAGGATTTCATCAGAAGGCTAGCTAAGAATAGAATAGCAAGACGAATAACAAGTTTGTGTCTTGGACAGAGAGCCTGAGCCAGCTGACTGTGATTGGCCATTAATTAGAAACAACCACATGAGACCAATCCCAGATGCACCTGTTGCATTCCACAGCAGCAGATAATCAATGTTTGCATTTTGTTCCTGAGGCCTCCCAGCTTCTCAGGAGGAAAAATCCTAAGGAAAGGATTTTTCAGAAAGTATCAGAGCTACAAGGTTGGTAGATCAATTTAGAAGAGAAGCTAGTGGGATGTGATGCTTTGTGTTGAATGTGGGAAGTTGATTCATTGTAGGAGCGTCTGGGGGTGGGATGGTTGGGACGGAGAGCAGAGATCTCTGCAGCCAGGTTGTGGAACTTACAGTTTATTGCAAAGAGCCTGGGGCAGGGCCCTGCTGGGAGCTGCCAGCCTCAGCTCAGAGAGGGGCAGAGAGGATGAGAGGCTGAGAGAGTAAAAGAGGTAAGAGAGTGAGGTTCCCATTACAATACCATAAATCTTCTGTGTTGAATATTCTAGTTCTCGCTAACCAATCTAGTGCAATATACAAATCCTATATCATTTCCATACAGCCTGTAACAATCACTACATTACCACAGTGTTACATTTTAAACCCTAAAACCTCCTCTTTGTGCCCCTTCTGCCAAGCTGCAGGGTCTGCTCTGACCCTGAGGCCTGTCTGCAAGCAGAGGGTGTTGTTCCATCAAAAGGGGATCACCTTCAGCTGGCCATGCCATTGTTTTCCAGTTGTTCAGTAACTGAGGGATCTCAAAGCTTGCTTTCATTTCAATCTTGCTTATAGTTTCCATATTCTCAAAATCTTTTGGCAGGCAATCATACTATAAGGCTTTCCTGTTCCATCTTCCCCACCATAATGGTCTCTGCTCCTCTGCTGTGGTTCAGTAGATGAATTTAGAAGAAAAATCAATTTAGAAGGGAGGGTGTTGGGATGCGATGCCTTGTGTTGTATTTGGGAGGTCGTTTCCCCACCGCGGTGCTCCTGGCTGAGGCGAGCCCCGCGCCGCGCGTCCTGCGTGAGGCGGGCTGGCCGCGGTGCTGCGGGCGCTCACCGGCCGCGTCCCCCCTTCCCTCCCTCCGTGTCTCCGCAGCTGCCCTGGGCGTGCAGCAGCCCTCGCTGCTGGGAGCCTCCCCGACCATCTACACGCAGCAGACGGCGCTGGCAGCCGCGGGGCTGACCACGCAGAGCCCCGCCAACTACCAGCTGAGCCAGAGCGCCGCGCTCCAGCAGCAGGCGGCAGCCGCGGCCGCGGCCCTGCAGCAGGTAAAGCACCCACCGCGGCCGGCGCTGCCCGAACTGCGGCCGGCTAAAGGACCCAGGAGGAAAGGAGAATGGCAAATGGTGAACATCGCAGTGTGAACCTGTCTCTTATCCATGGCGGGATGGGGGGGATAGATGGCGGAGGTGGAGTTGGTTAGGGGGAAGTTGGGATGGGGAGGAGCTGAGTTGTAGCGCTTTGGGAGAGTGGGGCTGCTGCATCTAAGCTGAGAATCTCAGTATCTCCCATCTCTCTCTCTCTATATATATGTATATATCTCCTTTATGGAATTTTGCATGATTTTGTAATGTGCCTTAAATACTATCTTAAGTGTCAAGCTTAACAAAAATTGCTGACTTTAGCTAGAAAGTGAATTAGTGGGAAGTTGGGCTGTAGAGGAGCTGATTTTTAGCCCTTTGGGAGAATGGGCGTTGCTGCATCTAAACTGAGAATCTCAAGTATCTCTCACCTCTCTCTCTCTCTATATATATATATGTATCTATCTCCTTTATGGGATTTTGCATGATTTTGTTATGTGACTAAATACTATCTAAGCATCAGGCTTAACAAAAATTGCTGACTTTAGCTAGAAGGAGAACATCAGGGCCCACTCTAAAGGCTCAGAATAATTGCTACGAAAATTATATACATTGATATGATGAAAATGATATACATGGATATGATGAAAATTATATACATTGATATTATGAAAATTATATACATTTGTTATGAAAATTGTACACATTGATATTATTAGTTATTTTTAAATTAAATTTGTTAAAGGTTAATTGCTTTTATCTAGAACTCGCTAAGCAGGTAACTTGTATTTGATGTTGTTGTGGTAATAATTCTCCTGTTTATGAGATATTTTGCTTTTATCTGTTTCAGCAATATTCACAACCTCAACAGACTCTCTATAGTGTACAGCAACAGGTTTGTCTGATTCTTACTGTGTACATCACAAATAACTTTAAAATAATGTTGATTGTGTGTCTTGTAGGATTTGTCTCCGAAATCATCCTCATGTGGGAAGTTGTTAAAGAAACTTAAATAACTTAAAGAAACTTTGTGTGGCAAAAGAGAGCTTGAAGTTCATAAACTTGGAAAGATGTGTGCAGAATGGAAACCTGCCTACCTTCCTGCAAAAACAAATTTTAGAAATACTTTCTGTTCCATGTGTAAATGATTTTCTGCTGAACTTTGCTCCAAACAGGGCCGTGTATTTTAACTGCTGGAAAGACGCTGTCCAAAAACGTTCCCTTTTGGATTTTTATTATGATCTTCTAACTTAACAGGATTTTTTAAAAAAGAATAAAAGTACAAGGGAATTACATGCCTAAGCTGTTCCAGCTGCCAAAATTTTTTTGGTATTGATATTAACTTTCAGTTCAAAAAAATTTAGCCTTTCTCCTTTCTGTATAAACCTGGGTTATACAATCTCAAAACTAACCCCAGAGGCACAGTTTTACAGATGTGCAAACTGCTGAAATGACCAAGCCCTAAAGGACTATTAACTGACTCAGATTAAGCAAAAACTCTTACTTGTAAAGAAGAGGTAGAATTGTACAATTTCCTTAAGCATATAAAATTAATTTATAACTTTATTTATTTTAAGTTGCAGCAACCTCAGCAGACCCTTTTAACTCAGGTTAGTTTGGCTTTATTGTTTGGTCTTCATCCCCAAACACAGATAATGCAAGAGTGCAAATTTGTGACATCTTGGTATTTTAATCTGTAAAATGAACTAATATGAATGAACATTTTATTGGTACAGGTTTATTTCATCCAGATGTTAAAATATGCATAGCCTTGGTTTCAAAAATTAATAGCAACCACTCTTCCTTAATCTTGAAGGGAACATGTGTGTTGATTATATTTTAATTTTTTTTTTGTTTGAACTTCAAGTGTCCATTTGTTTTGCAGTAAATAACAAATGGGGAAAATCTTTCTCTTCTCTGTGAAGGAATTTAATTTCCTGTATTAATAGTATGTGTATAAAGAGGTTTAAAAAGAACCTTGCTGAGCTTGACAGGTTTAAAACATGCAGCCATTTAACACATTGCAAGTTCCTCTAGTTCCGTTTTCACCTGAACTTTTAAACAGGCTTTAAAAAGGTAAAAATGTTTGACTTGATTTCATTACCTTACTGTGTTCTGCTTTTGTGAGGGAAGTACATGACCTGTTGAGCTAGGGAAGGGTTTTGTTGTCCTCAGCCTTTACTGACTTCTAATTCCAGGTGGGATTTAAATGCAGAATGACCTCTTAAGCATTTATTCCTAGCAAAGCTGGGAATTTATCTCCACTTCAGGCCCACTGTGTGTGTTGCCTGTAGACAGTAATGCATCTTCATGCTTTTTGTCTGGACAAGGTACATTTTTGGGGGAAGCTGACTCTTACAATAAAGGATAAACAAAACCAGTCTTCATTAAAGTAAGAAACATATCATCTTCAAAAAAACTAACAACCTGACAAAAACCACAAGAAACTTCCATCATCTGAAATATCTGTTCTAGGTGCTCTAGTCCCTGGCAGTGTGAGAGCACTGAGTGTTGCTCTGTTTTACCTGAAATGTGTATTCTAGGTGCTCTAGCCATGTTACACTGCTGTTTCTGTGGCTGGAGGAGCTGCTCCATGTCAGAGTGGCAGCTGTGCCAGCCCTGAGCGTTGCTCTGTTTTACCTGAAATTTGTATTCTAGGTGCTCTAGTGATGTTAAACTGTTATTTCTGTGGCTGGAGGAGCTGCTCCCTGGCAGTGTGAGAGCACTGAGTGTTCTTTTGTTTTACCTGAAATGTGTATTTTAGGTGCTCTAGCCATGTTACACTGATGTTTCTATGGCTGGAGGAGCTGCTCCCTGGCAGTGGCAGCCGTGCCAGCCCTGAGCTTTGCTCTGTTCTGCCTGAAATGTCAGTTCTGGGTGCTCTAATGAAGTTAAACTGTTGTTTCTGTGGCTGGAGGAGCTGCTCCCTGGCAGTGGCAGCCGTGCCAGCCCTGAGCTTTGCTCTGTTCTGCCTGAAATGTCAGTTCTGGGTGCTCTAATGAAGTTAAACTGTTGTTTCTGTGGCTGGAGGAGCTGCTCCCTGGCAGTGGCAGCCGTGCCAGCCCTGAGCTTTGCTCTGTTCTGCCTGCAGCCGGCGGTGGCGCTGCCCACCAGCCTGAGCCTGTCCACGCCGCAGCCGGCGGCGCAGATCACCGTGTCCTACCCCGCCCCTCGCTCCAGCCAGCAGCAAACCCAGCCCCAGAAGCAGCGGGTCTTCACGGGAGTGGTCACCAAGCTGCATGACACCTTCGGCTTTGTGGATGAAGATGTCTTTTTTCAGCTTAGGTAAGCTGTGAGCGCTCACCTGCAGATGTCATCACTTTGGGATCCATCACTTTGGGATCCATCACTTTGGGATCCATCACTTTGTGATGCTCTCGGTAGTCAGAGGTGGAGATGGTTGCACACTAATTCTGTGTGCAGTAGTGTGTTGTTTTCATTCAGCAGTGAAAGTCAGAGAGGTTAATAGATGTCTGAGGTACTTTGTGGTGCTGTTCACAGGGGTCCCAGAACGAGGGAAGAGATGAGGTTCTGACTCCATGTTTCAGAAGGCTTGATTTATTATTTTATGATATGAAAACAATACTAAAAGAGTAGAAGAAAACATTTTATCAGAAGACTAGTATGCAAGAAGTGGAATGATAACAAAAGCTTGTGACTGACTGAGAGTCTGAGCCAGCTGACTGTGATTGGCCATTAATTAGAAACAGCCACATGAGACCAATCACAGATGCACCTGTTGCATTCCACAGCAGCAGATAACCATTGTTTACATTTTGTTCCTGAGGCCTCCCAGCTTCTCAGGAGAAAAAATGCTAAGGAAAGGATTTTCCATAAAATGTGTGTGTGACAGTACTTCATGTGACCTTTTGATTTTTTTTTAGTATGAAGCCCAAAGTCAGGAGACCCAGGGCTTACTAGCTTCATGTAGTAGAAAATTGCAGAATTTGTGAGTGATTAAAAGCATAAAACCTGCTGTCTGCATGTCTTAACTTGGTACTGTTTGGGGATCTTTTCCTTTAGGGCCAAAGACAGGGAATTACTAAGTTCCTGTGCATACCTGAACTGAAGCAACTAATGCTGAATTTGGGGGTAGATGCTCTTCCCATAAGCTTTTTTTAATTAATTTTGCCTACTTTCTCCCATCTTCAAATGAGACATGCAAAAAACCAAGCTAAAGAAGCCTCTCACACACATTTTCTGTAACGTTTGCAGCGCTGTCAAAGGCAAGACCCCTCAGGTGGGTGACAGAGTTCTGGTAGAAGCCACGTACAACCCCAACATGCCGTTCAAATGGAACGCCCAGAGGATCCAGACCCTGCCCAACCAGGTGGGTGTGGTGCAGGTGCCAGGGCAGGGGCCCGGCTGCAGCTCCCTGCTGACCCTCGGTGTCTCCCCAGAACCAGAGCCAGGCGCAGCCGCTGCTGAAGACGCCGCCGGCCGTGCTGCAGCCCCTGGCCCAGCAGACCTTCGGTGTGCAGGCACAGCCACAGCCACAGTCCCTGCTGCAGGCGCAGATCTCTGCAGCCTCCATCACACCCCTGCTCCAGACACAGCCTCAGCCCCTGCTGCAGCAGCCACAGCAGAAAGGTGCTCCTTCAGTGAACTTCTGGGGGTCACTCTGGTGGGAGTGATGGGGGGGGGCACAGACAGAGACGAGATATCTCTGAAGCCGGGTCAGGAACTTGGGGTTTATTGCAAAGGGCCGAGTGCAGGGCCCTGCTGGGAGCTGCCAGACACAGCTCAGAGCAGGCCCCAGAGGGAGAGAGAGGTAAAGAGAGAGAAGGCAAGAGCATGGTAAAGAGGATGAGAGATTAAAAGAGAGGATCAGAGAGCGAGGTTCCCCTTACAATACCGTAAGTCTTTTTCTGTCCTCAGTATTCTGATTCTCACTAACCAATCTAGTACAAGATACAAATCCTGCAGCATTTACATACAGCCTATAAGAATCATTGCATTGCCACACTGTGTTACATTTTAAACCCTAAAAACTCCTCTTTGGGCCCCTTCTGCCAAGCTGCAGGGTCTGCTCTGACCCTTGGAGCTGTCTGCAAGCAGAGGGTGTTGTTCCATCACAAGGGGATCACAGCAGCCCACACCATTGTTTTCCAGTTGTTCAGTAACTGAGGGATCTCAAAGCTTGCTTTCATTTCAATCTCACTTATAGTTTCCATATTCTCAAAATCTTTTGGCAGGCAATCATATTTATAAGGCTTTACTGTTTCATCTTCCCCAACAACTCTGGTGCTCAGTGGGTGATGATTGTTTTCTTGTTAATCAGAAGGTTGAAGTAATAGCTAAAATAATATGGAGGGGACTGTGCTGAGTGTTCAGATTGGATATGTCTTCCTGCACCTTTGTGCAAGGCACGTTGCCTGCAGTAGCTCAGAAATCACCTGGTTACTGAAGTCCCCATGGACTCCTGTTCATGTTAAGATTTTGTAAGCCAAAAGCAAATTCAGTGTAATTTTTGTTCTTTCTCAGACAAGTTGAGGAGTTGAAAGTATTAATAGCACTGCAGTCCTTCAGCATCTTCTGCAGTTTTCCACAAAATCAGGTTTCACAGTTGTGTTCTTAAAGCTGTTGTTTCTTTGCTTATTAATTTCAATTAGCCAGGTGGGCATCTGAGAGAAGAAACACTGTCAAACATGGCAACTCTAAAACAAAGGCTGTGAAGTCTCTCGAACTTTGAGTGGCTAAGGAATCAGTGACAGAAATGATAATATTAGGACTGGTCTTAACACAGTAAAGGCAAGGGCAGAAGAACCAAAGCAGAATTGTTTTGCATAAATGCTTACTGCAATTTAATTAGTCCTAGTTGTTCATTGGAGTTCAGTAACATTTGCTCCACTTAAATCACTTGCTGAAATGTCTGAAGGCAAAGAAATTACCTGCTGAGGGATTGGTGAGCAGTGTAATATATTGATTTAGGAATCACTTTTCAGGATGCCAGTTATTTTTATGTATGAATAGCCTTAAAATGAAGATTTCAGTTTTACTTCAGTAAAATGAGTAGGTAGTATATCTGTAATTTAAGTTTTTGGAAAGGCTTAGCTATTTATTAAGATTAATTCTGTGTGCTTAGGTTATATTAGCTTCCATCTCAGGAAGATGCTTTTAACCAATTTCACTTTGATGAGTGTCAGCTTGCCTCAGTGAAGAAAAGTTTAGTTCTCTTGAGTTTCTTTGGGGGGCTGTTAAAAGATAAATTTAAAATCAGCAAGTGAAGCAGCTGCAAGCAGCAGTGTTTGCCACGTGTAGGTGCTTGCCCCTGTTCTGTATTGGTGCTGTCCATTCTGTTGCAGGTGGTTTGCTGCAGCCCCCAGTCCGTCTGGTTTCACAGCCACAGCCAGCTCGAAGACTCGACCCACCATCCAGATTTTCTGGCAGGAATGACCGAGGTGGAGACCCCATGCCAAACCGAAAGGATGACAGGAGGTAGGTAGGCCAGACTGTGATCCATAAAGAGCTTTCCTCACCCAGAGCTGAGCTGCCTGCTCCAGAGTGGGTCAGCAAGAGCCACAGGTGGTGTTACCCTTAGGAATTAGGGAAGAGTTCCTATCTGCCTGAAAGTAAGGAGCTGTGTTATCAGTTTCTCTGGTAAAGAGACTACCGAAACCTCTTCCCTTTTTTGAGCTGTGTCTGACAGTTGTGCTAGACGTCACTTTGTGTTCCCAGCCCGCATAAACCCTTGCGTTCTGTGTGTCGTTGAAGCCGAGAGCGGGAGCGGGAGCGGCGCCGGTCCCGGGAGAGGTCCCCGCAGAGGAAGCGCTCGCGGGAGCGATCGCCGCGGCGGGACCGGGAGCGCTCCCCGCGCCGCCCGCGCCGCGTGCTGCCCCGCTACACCGTGCAGTTCTCCAAGTTCTCCTTGGACTGGTACGTGTGCGCGTGTGCCTGCAGCTTGTGTCGTCGTGGCGCGGCTGCTGGAGCTGTGTCGGTCACCCGCGTGTCTATGAGTGATGGTCCTGGCTCTCAAGCTCTTCCCATAAGTTTTTAAAATGAGTTTTCCCTATTTTCTCCCATCTTTAAATGTAACATGCAAAAAACCTAGCTAGTCAAGTATGTAATGGCTAAGAACCTCATATGGTGAACTTGTTGGATGTTCTGTGTTACTTTAGAGTGCTATTGCAAAATAGCTTTATTGCATTGCTTAGTGAATATTCCCTAACATGCAGACCCCTGAATGGGAAGAGTGTTTAATAGTTACTTTTTTAAACTTCATCCATGACATTCAAACGCAATATTCTTGAGATTTTATGTATCCAGCACCAAATATACAGTGGTTGTATTGCCAGTTAATGCACCTCTTGAGTTAATAGTCGATAATTCTGTATCTTTGCACCCTGCCTGTGTTCCAGCCGTAGCTGTGATATGATGGAGCTGAGGAGGCGTTACCAGAACCTGTACATCCCCAGCGACTTCTTTGATGCTCAGTTCACGTGGGTGGATGCTTTCCCTATGTCCAGACCCTTTCAGCTGGGAAACTACTGCAATTTCTACGTAATGCATAGAGAAGTAGATCCTATCGATAAGAACGCTGCTGTCCTCGATCCACCTGATGCTGATCATCTCTACAGTGCTAAGGTTTGTGTGCTTTTCCACTGATAGCACTATTCATTAGAAGTTTTTAATCAATAGGGTGCAAAAGGAGGTGTAACTGAACTGAAGACATTCTGCAGCCATTTAAGCAAAGTACAGCATTTTAAAGTTTTCAATAAAAAACTAGTATGTAGAGCTTAAAGAATCACAGCTGAAATTCAGTTTGTATTTCTGTGACTAGAGCTGTGCTAAATCTTGTGTTTACAGAGGGCTCTTCCATTGTCTGCACCCAGTTGCAGTGATGTGGTTATAGGAAAGAAAGCCAGCTCCTGCAAGGTCTCTGAATGATTTCTTAGGCAATTCATTTTGAGTAGTTAATGGAGTCCTTTTTATTCCTTCAATACAAACTTGATGGAAAAATCTTGAAAGCAAGAAGGAGTGATGATGTTTTAAACCTATTCCATTGCTGAAATAGTCTGTGGAAAAAAATAACTGAACTCTTTCTGTGCAGTTTGTGTTATTCTGTTTAGTGGTATTTTTTTTCCTTATTTCCTGTTCATCTCAATATTTATTTTTTTGTTTGAAGTAAATTGAGATCTATCTTTATAATGTAATATTTCTAACACAGATTGGTAAAATCTCAGACCTAATTTAATGACAGACTTCAAATGGAACAGGTTTTAGGAAAATGTTTTGGTAAAGGGGTCTTTTGTACATGATTACAGCCCTTGATGCAGCATATTTTGACATTCACATAGAGAGACTTAACTAACTTGCCTTCTGTGTGCAAAACTTGTAAAGCTCAGGTATCAGACATGCTGGTTTTTCAGTCTGTGCAGAGCAAGAGCTGCCTTTCAGAAAGCTGAGCTTCAAAACATAGTAACTGAGAAGGAGTTTATCATACACCTGTTTAGGGTGTAGAGCAGCCTTGTTAAGTGTTGGTATGTGTGTTGGTGCTCGTTGTTGATCAGTTGTAGTGAGACCTCCACCAGACTGCTCTGACTTGCCCCACAGGTGATGCTGATGGCCAGTCCCAGCATGGAAGATCTCTACCACAAGTCCTGTGCTCTGGCTGAGGATCCCCAAGAGCTTCGGGATGGATTTCAGCATCCTGCTAGACTTGTAAAGGTAAATATGCTTCCATGCCAGACACTTTTGGCAATAAAGGTTGGTTATAGAGCTTTGCTGTTTTTGACAGTAGGACAGGAGCTGGTAGACAGCTGAATGATGATTTCATTTTTCCTCTGAAGAGACCTAGTTTATATGTCAATTCTTTTCCACATATAGGAGCTTCACATTTACTGCTTTGTTCCACTTAGTCAAACTAAAACAATTAACTTTGTTAGCTGCTTTTTACAAGCACTTAGTGATTTTGTTAGGGCTCAGCTGTGAAGAGAATACACCTGAAACAACAGTTAAGCAGTTGTTGTGTTAAGTGAAACTTAACCATTAAACTGAAGAAGCTGTAAGTGCTGTGGTGTTTCAGGACAACAGACTTGTTTTCCAGTTAAATTCTAACTTACAGCACACAGGAATACTTTCATTTATAGGTATGATGCTCTTGTGGTCTCACCTTCTGTAGCTTTTCTTCGTCACTTTTAAGCAGGTGCATCTCTAAATGTGCATCAGAGTTAAGGCACTATTTAAGTTACTGTCTGTCTTTTGGGTTAGAAAGCTTTGAATTGCAAGGGGACAAGCCTATACCAGTAAACAAACTTGATGGAAAATCTTGAAAGCAAGAATGAGTGATGATGTTTTAAACCTATTCCATTGCTGAAATAATCTGTGGAAAAAAATAACTGAACTCTTTCTTGACTGATTTTCATTTTCAGATTTCAAAGTAATTTCACGGTGTATTCACGGATTTCAGTGTGTGTGCTATGAAATATTCTTTGCACTTTGGGAAAATGACCTTTTACCCCTAGCAGGGGAACATTCAGAAGCCTCTTTTTGTCTAGTTTTTAGTGGGTATGAAAGGCAAAGATGAAGCTATGGCTATTGGAGGACACTGGTCCCCCTCACTGGACGGGCCTGACCCAGAAAAGGACCCCTCGGTGCTGATAAAGACGGCAATTCGCTGTTGCAAGGCTCTTACAGGGATTGACTTAAGTGTGTGCACGCAATGGTAAGTACTGCATACTGCACTGCACTGCCAAGTGCTCTGTAGAAATAAATACTTGTCTGTTACCAGGACTTAAAAAAACAAAACAAAACAAAAAAGGCTGGGAAAACCCTTTTTTCTTTGTCAACTGCTCTTGGTAGTTCAGGTGAACTACTCAAAGGATGTTCTGTTTGGTAATCAGCTTGATTGGTGCCAACTGTGCTGAATACTGCATTAAGAACTAATTAAAAATTCTGGGTTTATTTTGACATGTTAAACTGTAATTTTTTTAATGAATGTGCGTTGAAAATATTTTTCATTTTGTGCATAGCTGGAGAGGATCGTCAAGAGAACTTCATTTCATTATTCTTTTGTTATAAATAAATAGCCGTTTGTTATACAGCCATATTTTCTCTTGATGAGTTTCTGTCCTGCATTAACACTCACTGTGGTTGTACTTATACCAGGAAAGCCAATTGTATGCTAAATTTGAAGTTCTTCCACGACTTCTGTTTGCACGTAAAACCTACTTGGTCTAAACAACAAGTTTTATGAAAAGCATTTTGTCGATTTTCCTCCTTTTCAGTCGCGATACCTTTTTACAAGTGTGCCAGAAGAGAAAATATGGCTCCCATAATTTTTTTCTTTAGATAAACCTCAAGGTCTTGCAGCAAAATTTCTTTACTTGATGTGCTACAAGTGATCTAGGCTCTTGAAAAATGTATTGTAGAATTTTTTTTCCAACATGCTTCTTCCCTTGCAACAGGTACCGTTTTGCAGAGATTCGCTACCATCGCCCTGAGGAGACCCACAAGGGGCGTACGGTTCCAGCTCATGTGGAGACAGTGGTTTTATTTTTCCCGGATGTTTGGCATTGCCTTCCCACCCGCTCAGAGTGGGAAACCCTCTCCCGAGGATACAAGCAGCAGCTGGTCGAGAAGCTTCAGGGTGAACGCAAGGAGGCTGATGGAGAACAGGCACTGAACGCTAATCCCTTTTTCTATTTCTGCTTCTCACAGGCACAGGAACACAGGCACAAAATGCACACCACATACTACACAACATACATACACAGGAGGAACATAACTGGTAACAATGACTGGTAAACCAGCTTTCAGCAGTGTAGTGAATGTTGCTTTTGATTTTTATTTCAGCTAGTTCACTAACTGTAAATGTGTATGCTGATATCACAAACGGAATTAAATTGTGCTTACGATGCGCAGACATCTTTATCGTAGACGTAGTTGCTGGAATCTGGGACCAGTTGTTGAGTGAGATTCAGTTTATGAATAGCTGTCTTCAAACATTTTGCCATTTTCTGAAATTTCTAAATTCTCTCTCGTGGCCAGTTCTAATTGTGATATTTGAAATTGAACAAACATTAGTCCGAAACATCTGAATTTCAGGCCATGTGGCTGATCAGCATCTTGGAATAAGGGAAGGTCTGACTGAACAAAGAGTAATTTGGGGCATTTAAAATGTGGGGGAAGATCACCCGCTGTGTGGTTACTGGAGACCAGCAGTGTCTGTGTAACCCCAATATCCTTTGTGGTGTTGCTTATCACCCTTTTGTGTTCCACAGATCTGGCTTGTATTGGCTGAGTGGCACTGTGATCATTTATAAAGTGGTAGAATGTGTGTGTGAACTTGTCTAAATAATAACTTTAGGAGAAGACTATCTGAAACAGTTGTGACCTTGCACAGATCAGCAACAGAATTTTAAAAATAACTGAAATGCTTTCAAGCTTTCTGAAGGATAATTTTGAAATTTTGTTTGTCAGGATGAAGAGGAAAAGGATGATGGGGAAGCTAAAGAGATCTCTACGCCTACACACTGGTCTAAACTGGATCCAAAAACAATGAAGGTAACAAACACTTCTGAAAACTTGTACTTTTTCACTTCTAAGACGTGACCTGAAATGCAGCAGTATGTTCCCTTAACTAAGCAAGAAAATTCAGTAGTGTTCTGCTGAATGTATAGGTACCAGATGTAGTATCACAGTGTGCAGGGATGACTCCTGCTTGTACAAAGTGAAAGCTAACTAAATCTGTTCTGAACTTTGTACAATTGTACAATTAAAGGATTTCACCTATGATACATGAACTGGAAAACAAGAGTTCTGCTGTAATCTGCCAGATTACTACTTAACTAAGAAATGTGGGGTCTAAAATAGTTCAAAAATTGTACATTTTTGTACAATTACTGCCTTTTTAAGAAGCTCTGTCAGGAGACATAATAAAAACTTTCCTTGAAAGCAGTAGTAACAATAAACTATTTTACTTTAGTAGAATCCTTTCCCCGCCTCTGTGAAAAGTTCCCCAGAAAGAAGTTTTTTGTGGAAAACATCAATTTAAATGCAATGGGGTTTTTTGTGACAGTAACTATTAGTGTTTTTCAGCACATGTTTAAAAAGTTCAGTTGACTTTTCAGAGCTGTTGATTTTTACCTCACTTTCTCTGCTAATCCAGTGTTCTGTGATGTCACTGCCTGCTGCCACTGACAGAGTTTTCCTTTGCCAGGTGAATGACCTTCGCAAAGAGTTAGAGAGTCGAACCCTCAGCTCCAAGGGACTGAAATCCCAGCTGATAGCTCGGCTGACAAAGCAGCTCAAAGTAGAGGAGCAAAAAGAAGAGCAAAAGGAGCTGGAGAAGTCTGAGAAAGAAGAGGAAGAGGAGGAGGATAGGAAATCTGAAGATGATAAAGAGGTTAGGATTTGGATTTACTTGGTTTAAGTCTTAAGTGCATATGAAATATATTAAATATTTGTATAAATATATATATAAACACAAAAAGTAGAGGCATGTGCCTACTTCTGCTGGGATTTTGTTGTTCTCAGGTGACTGTACTGGAAACTCTTGCTGTACCTTGAGCTTGAATTGGGAAGAGCTCTTGGCCAGTTTGAATTATTTTGTGTCAGCCAAATCAGCTCAAATGTGCCACTGCACTAAGGGTGTCTGAATTAATGTTTGACCTTAAATCTACGGAAAAATAAATCCAAGCCTCCTGAGAAAAGCCATGCTCAAGATGAGTGAACACACTTAACACTACCTTAACTCCTTAAACCTACATGAAAAGCAGTTTTAGTTCTGTTTGCCTCTGTCTCTCACAGTCCAGCTTCTTCACGTGGCAGATGGTTTGCTTGGGTTTGTTTGGGTTTGTTTTCCCTTATTATGAAGATTTAATCTTTACTTTTGGATACTTGCTGTGTATTGGAGTTTCTCAGTTTTGTGGTTTGTAGTTGCAGTGCCTGTCTGGTTTGCTTCTTCACAAAAATTGACAAAATCTGTGCAGTAAGGCCAAAGCCCAGCCATAGAAAAGGGGCAGAGTGTCTGGAAAATGGCTTGTGCTTTAGTTGCTTTTAAACCTGCCTTTTTGTATGTTACCTGCTAACCTGTATGGGGTGATTGGAAGTTTGATATTTTTATACATCTCTGTAAACCTTGTTGGGGGAGGAAAGGCCAATTCTGTTTGCTAATTCTGTCAGCTGCTGCTGCCTTTTCCCACAGCTTGGATGGGGTTCAACTAGCTTGGGTTTCTTGCCACAGCTTCCTTTAGGGTTCAAGGGGAGCTGTGATTGTGCTGGCTTTTTATGAAGCACAAGCTCTGCCTTGACTTTCTTTGTAGTCAGGAGACTTCAGTATTTGTCTCTCGGCAATCAGTAAGATGGTGACGTTTTACATTTGGTAACCCTTCATTTCATTTGCATCAGGTATATCTATAGAGATTGCATTTCCATAATCAAGAGTTAGATAAATTGTCATCTGTAGCTGTTAGAGCTGTGTTGGGTGTCTTTGGAGAGGTGGGGTATGAACCTTTCTCTTCCTTTGTAAGGAATAAACACCTCTCTGTGCTGTACATCTGTGTGTTCCTTCCAGCAGCTTGGGCTTTCCTTTGCTCAGGAAAGCAGTGAGTCCCAAAAACTCATGTAGAGGCTGAAACTTCAGCTATGGAGTGTGGTGTTGGTTTCCAGGACGAGGTGAGAGATGAGGAATCTGACTCTGTGTTCTCAGAAGGCTGATTTATTATTAATTTATGATATTATATTGGGTTATATTATATAATATTTATTGTATGTTACGTTATATTATAGTGTATTGTATTATAGTGTATTATAGCATATTATATTATAGTGTACTATACTATATTTATTATATTTATTATAGTATATTATACTATATTATATATTATGCTATCCTATATTATACTATCCTATATTATACTATCCTATATTATATTATACTATCCTATGCTATCCTATACTATCCCATACTATCCTATACTATACTATATTATACTATCCTATACTGCTGCACTATACCTAGTGTAGTATGTCTAGTGTAGTCTATCTACTATATTTTATATTATAGAATGCCATACTAAAACTATACTGAAGAAAAAGAAAGATACAGACAGAAGGCTTAACAAGAATGATAATGAAAAACTTGTGACTCCTCAGAGTCCGACACAGCTGATGGTGATTGGTCATTAAGTAAAAACAATTCCCATGGAACCAGTCAAAGAGGCTCCTGTTGGATAAACAATCTCCAGCCACATTCCCAAGCAGCCAAACACAGGAGCAGCAATCAGATGATTATTATTTACATTTTTCTCTGAGGCCTCTCACCTTCCCAGGAGAAAACCCCGGCGCAGGGATTTTCCCAGAGCACGCGCAGCGCCGTTGGAGCGTGCTCCACCTTGCTGTTGTGTCCCCTTGCAGGAGGAGGAGAGGAAGCGGCAGGAGGAGCTGGAGCGGCAGCGGCGCGAGCGGCGCTACATCCTGCCCGACGAGCCGGCCATCATCGTGCACCCCAACTGGGCGGCCAAGAGCGGCAAGTTCGACTGCAGCATCATGTCCCTGAGCGTGCTGCTGGACTACAGGCTGGAGGACAACAAGGAGCACTCCTTCGAGGTGGGGACACGCTCTTAGCTCTTCTTGTTTCTCTCCAATTGTCCTGTGAAGGTTCCTGAGTTGCCACGGCTTTGGTACATGTTACGATAGGAGTGCGCTCACTGCGTGGCATCCAGAGGAACACACAGGTTTTCAGATAAAGTTGTGTGAGGATTCCACGTTCAAAACAGATAGTAAGAAATCTGACACTTCATAAAATTCTGATATGGTGGGAGTTGCTAAAATTGCACCTTCTCGGGGATCTCTGGGTCAGGATGACCCAGATGTGTTAGGGAGTCTCTTTTCCCAGCCCAGCAACCAAAGAAGGAGTCAGGATTCTTCTGTTCTGCTTTTCAAGGTTGTTTATTTTCTGTTATCTATGACATTCTTTCCCTGACCCACCAAGGTCTGTCCAGCAGGTCGGGTTGAGGCACACTGACACTTTCAGGGTGGTGTTATCTTTTTGTACTAAAAACTACCTGTACTTTATTTACAATAATTTTCCAATACCTATCACCTATGATATATATATATATATATATATATATATATATATATATATATATATATATATATATATATATATATCTTTTTATACTAAAAACTACATGTACATTATTTACAATCATTTTCCAATACCTATCACCTATGTTAGACAGTGTGTTCCTACTCTAAACCAATCCAAAAGTGCCACCATCACCCAGAAGATGGAGGCTAGGAAGAAGGAGAAAGAAGGACAAGGCGCACCCAAATCCCTCCATCTTGGGACCCTGAGCCCCCATTCTAAAAACCCCAAAATTCTGCTTTTTCACCCTGTGACAAACTAACTAGCATTCTACTCAAACTTTTGTGGCTTGCAGACCCTCATATAAGGTTGGGTATTATTTCCATGGGTCAAAATCAAAGGCACAGGAGTCTTGGGCTCTGTGGCAAGATCTCTGATTCCCCTGGCAGGGGCTCAAGCCATCCAGGACAGCCAGAGGGATGTCCTGTGTTCCAACAGCACCTCATAGCTATTTTATCATAATTATACAAGTTTTTAATACATGTTTTAAAAGTTTTTGTCACTTTTCTTCTTTGTGTGCAGGTATCATTGTTTGCAGAACTCTTCAATGAAATGCTTCAGAGAGATTTTGGTGTCAGAATTTACAAAGCACTGATTTCTCTCCCAGAGAGAGAGGACAAAAAGGACAAAAAAAGCAAAAAAGATGAGAGAAAAGAAAAGAAAGAAGAAAAAGATGATGAAACAGATGATCCAAAACCTAAAAGAAGAAAATCTGGAGACGATAAAGATAAAAAAGAAGAGAGAGATGAAAAGAAGGTCTGTAGTTAGTTCATATGCAGTCTAGCCTGTCTGGATAAATTTTGAAGTGTTTCTATTTCTATTTTACATTGCTCCTTTCAGAAACTCAGCTCTTGTTATGTTAGTTAATTGATTTGACTTTTTGATCTATTTAAATATGCTTCAATTATATTCAGTAATTTAAAATTTTTGCAGGTGTATTGGGAGTAGTATTTTAACATTCAGCTGTATCATATAAATTTGTATCTGTGTTCTTAGTTGACTTATGTATGTATGTAATGTAGGCAAATTTTGACTGGCAATGAGGGTTTTACTTTGCTGGGTTTTGATTCTGACTAGATAAATATTTAGGAATTTTTGTTCCAGAGGGAAGATAAAAGGAAAGATGATTCTAAAGAGGAAGAAGAAACAGAAGAGGACAATAATCAAGAAGAATACGATCCAATGGAGGCAGAAGAGGCTGAAGATGAAGATGAAGGTATCTTGAACTATGACTTTTGTGACCTTTAACATTTTTTTTATCATCACTGATTATGTTCTTTCAAGCTGGAGAAGGCACTGGAACTAGACAATTCAAAATTGCACTATTAAGCTGATTTTATTCTGGGAATTTTAACCAGTTGTACATCAGATGTAAGTACCTTTAGGCAGGCCCTGGATGAACACAGTGACTGTGAGCAGGCTGTGCTGCTCCCAGCAAGGCATGCATATAGAAGTGGTTTTATTTTTTTCAGAATGCAGACCACTCACAGCTCCCATTGAAGTCAGTAGGAGATGTGAGTATTCAGCACCTCTGAAAAACCAAGCCACTTTTACATGCCTGAGTTCCTGCTCCTCAGTTCTGGAATGCCATCCTGGCTTTGGCTAGGACACAGTGCAGTGTGGGTGCTCTGCAGCCCATGGTACAGGAGGTTGTTCTTTGTTTGGGTGGAGTTGTTAGCTGAATAAACAGGAGAAGGGTCTGGAGGGCGCTGCAGGCAGTGGCAGCAGCTCTTCCCCTGCTCAGGGGGTCAGGAAGGTGTAAAACATCCTGTGTGCTTTTTGGTTTGCACTTTGGGGCAGTTGCCTTTCTGTGCAGAGGTTTTGCTGGGCATGGTTTGAACTGCAGTCCCAGCATTTTCACTTGTATTTTTGGCAGAGTACTGCACCAGCCTTAAGGAGCTGATGCTAATCTGTGGTTTCCAGAACAACTCCTATTTCTTATAATTTGTCTGTAAGAGTGGCCTGGGCTTGTCTGTTCTGTACAAGTGCTGCTGCTGCTTCCCAGAGTCTGTCCTTGTCCCATTCCCAGTCAAGAGTTGCTGAGAAAACCCAACAAGCCTTGGAGGTGCAGGAGAAGGCAATTGGTTCTCAGAAAAGGGTTGGTAAAATTAGCCAAGTGTTGTAATACATAGTTTTTCCCAAGTTTTCCTCACAAGGAAGGTGAGCTTAAAGCTGAACTTGGGACATGATTCTCTGTCCCAAGACTTGCATGGAAGGTGCAGAGCTGCATGCCATAATCCATCCCAGCAGTTGGTTCACTTCTATCTCTCTTTCAGTCTGGTTTTTCTGTACTGCCTGCCTTTAGATAAAAAACCTGCCATTTGTAATTCACATGTAATAAGTGATGTGATCTGTAACTTCCTGGAGAATCTAAGTCATAGGAAGAGTCATCTCTCACTCAACATAAGCACATGGTTTTAATTACATAGTGTATATGGGTTTATTGTATGAAATATTTGAGAGTAAATAATACTGAATTTGAATAACCATAGCTGAGTGCAGACTCTGCCAAGCCTCATTAGGGAGAATTGTGGTGATTTCCTGCACACCACTGAAATAGATGGACATGTTGGCAGCACTCATTTTGGCCTAGTTTGCATTTGTTTCAGCTCTGCTGTCCTGTGTGTGAAACAAACACAGGGAAAAAATTATAAATGGCTTATGTTAAAATAAGAGAAAAATCAGAATTTAACAGCTCTCACTTGAATGCATTTTTTTAATAATTTTTCAGGGAAGCATATTGCAGATGTTAGGGGGTTTATGTGACTTTTATAGTGGCGTTATGTATTCTGGTGATGGTTATACAAGGGTGTGCTGTGGGTATGCTGAATTTCCTTTCTGTCTTGCAGATCGGGACGAAGAGGAGATGAACAAACGGGAGGACAGAAAAGAGGGAAATAAACATTGCAAAGAGAGGGCATCCAAAGATAAAGTAATTAACACCTTTCTTAACGACTGCACACACCTTGTTAGAGGTGTCCTAATTACAGCTTAGCTTTATTTTTATTATAAGAGCTGTTTTCCCTTTGAAAGCAGCTGTTAAGTAAATGATTGAGGGCAGAGGGGATGTTTCCTAGTTTATAATTAGATTAATTCTATGTCCATGTTTTACATACTAGCATGAACAAAAGGAAATTGTGTCTACCAGCTATTACTATCCATTGTGATGTATTTCTTCTAAATACTGAAAGATTACTTTTCATATATAGCTTAAAATAGTCTTAAGTAAAGTGATCTAAGTAATTGATAGTAACATTAATTACTTTACTTAAAGTAACAATAAAATGAACAGAGAATAAACTTCTGTTAGGTCAGAAGTTGGAATATTTTTGGAATGATATTTTAACTCCCTAATGATGCCATAATCACTTTTCTCTAGGAGAAAGACAAGACCCAGATGGTGACTGTTAACAGGGATCTCCTGATGGCTTTTGTTTATTTTGATCAAAGTCATTGTGGATACCTGCTGGAGAAGGACATGGAGGAGATCCTGTACACTCTTGGACTTCACCTGTCACGGGCTCAGGTTTTGTGTACTGCTAAAAACCTTTCCAGATGTTACAGGACTGGTTTAACTGGGATAAATGTAATTTAGCTTCTACAGGCTTTGCTTGCATACCCGATCTCTTATTTTTATGCAGCCACTTCATATTTACAATGAAATCAGAGTTTAAGCTTTTGTAAATTGACTGGGAGTGAAAAGGTGAAGTTTGCAGTTTATAATATGCCCATACTGTATATGTAGCTTTTGTCTCTAAATTGTATTTATTCTTTTCTTATTTTTATTCTTATTATTTCTTACTTTTGCATTTTAAGCCCCAGTATGTTAAAATTCAAAAAGCTGTGCAATTTCTTTTAAGTTCTCCAAGCTAAACCGTTCTTGTTTAGGTAACAGGATGTCTGGGTATTAAATAATTATTAATTATTTCCTTCCATGTGTTGTAGGTCAAGAAGCTGCTCAATAAAGTAGTGCTTCGAGAATCTTGCTTTTACAGAAGACTAACAGACACTTCTAAAGATGAGGAAAACCAAGAGGAGTCCCAAGAGCTACAGGAAGATATGCTAGGTGGTATTTTCTTTTCCCCACAAATTTGCAGAGAGTTATTTCTGTGTGATAATGAGAGTTCTGAGGTACTTGATTTCTTGCAGAAACTACTTGAGCCAGTTTAGAAAAGCACATCCTTGGCAGTTCAAAAGTAACAGGGTTTTTTGTGCTTCCAACACATAATGTTGCAACTCTAGGATAAATCTTAATGTCTTGGAACAGGAAAGAGGACAGAGGTTAATGTTCAATATTGATGAACAGCATTCCTTGTTACTAGTTTTGAAGTCAGGAGGCTCAGAGCTGCAGGTAGTAGAGTGGAGCCTGAGTTTTGAAGACGATTCCTGCAGGAAAGAGGCACAGAATGATGTCTTGAAAGAGAATGCTGCTTTTTGGCAGGGGGGAGCATTGGGGTCAGGAGAAGGAGAGAGAGAAGTGTGAGGGCTAGAGCAGCAACCTGGAGTCTGTATTTGTTCTCCTGAGGAGTGTGTGGGGTTGGTGTCTAGAGAATGATCCTGTGGTTATTGAGGACAGAGCGGCAGCTTGGGTCAGTGTTTGCTCTCCTGAGCAGTGTCTGGGGCTGGTCTCTAGGATGATGTGGTTATTGATGATGGAGCAGCAGCCTTGGGTCAGTGTTTGCTCTCCTGAGCAGTGTCTGGGCTGGTCTCTAGGATGATGTGGTTATTCAGGGTAGAGCAGCACTGAGAGGTGTCTGAGGCTGGTGTCTGGAATGACCCTGTGGTTATTGAGGGTAGAGCAGCACTGAGCAGTATCTGAGGTTGATCTCTAAAATGATGCTGTGGTTGTTGAAGATAGAGCAGCAACCTTGGTCTGTATTGGTTCTCCTGAGGGGTGTCTGGGGCTGGTCTGGAATGACCCTGCGGTTATTTAGGATAGAGCAGCACTGAGAGGTGTCTGAGGTTGGTCTCTAGGATGGCATTGTGGTTGTTGAGGGTAGGGCAGCAGTGTCTGAGGTTACTCTCTGGAATTATGTGGTTATTCAGGGTAGAGCAGCCCTGAGCAGTGTCTGAGGCTGCTCTCTGGCCTGACCCTGTGTTTAGGGAGCACAGACCAGCACTGAGGGGTATCTGAGGCTGCTCTCTGGCCTGACCCTGTGTTTAGGGAGCACAGACCAGCACTGAGGGGTATCTGAGGCTGCTCTCTGGCCTGACCCTGTGTTTATGGGGCACAGACCAGCACTGAGGGGTATCTGAGGCTGCTCTCTGGCCTGACCCTGTGTTTAGGGAGCACAGACCAGCACTGAGGGGTATCTGAGGCTGCTCTCTGGCCTGACCCTGTGTTTAGGGAGCACAGACCAGCACTGAGGGGTATCTGAGGCTGCTCTCTGGCCTGACCCTGTGTTTATGGGGCACAGACCAGCACTGAGGGGTATCTGAGGCTGCTCTCTGGCCTGACCCTGTGTTTAGGGAGCACAGACCAGCACTGAGGGGTATCTGAGGCTGCTCTCTGGCCTGACCCTGTGTTTATGGGGCACAGACCAGCACTGAGGGGTATCTGAGGCTGCTCTCTGGCCTGACCCTGTGTTTATGGGGCACAGACCAGCACTGAGGGGTATCTGAGGCTGCTCTCTGGCCTGACCCTGTGTTTAGGGAGCACAGACCAGCACTGAGGGGTATCTGAGGCTGCTCTCTGGCCTGACTGTGCCCTCCCCCTGCAGGGAACCGGCTGCTGCTGCCATCCCCCACGGTGAAGCAGGAGTGCAAGGCTGTGGAGGAGAACGTGGGGCTCATCGTGTACAACGGGGCCATGGTGGACGTGGGCAGCCTCCTGCAGAAGCTGGAGAAGAGCGAAAGGGTGCGGGCAGAGATTGAGCAAAAGCTGCAGCTGCTGGAGGAAAAAACAGGTGGGATGTTACTTTGAGGGCAGTGCTTACAGGGGTGCAGGGCACTGAGACTTCTTTAGTAGAGAAATCAATTTGGGTCATATTTGTGATTAAATTTTATCCAAGTTGAATGCAAGACTTTAAATGTGGTCAGAATTAAGTATTATCAAATGGTAATTCAATGCAGTTTTTAATGTTCTTTAAAAATTAATATTATGGTGTTGCACACAAATGGAATATTAAATTACAAAGTACCCAGCATTGGAAGTGACTTGACATTTTCATTTCTTCCCTTCCTAAGATGAGGATGAGAAAACGATTCTACAACTGGAGAATTCTAACAAAACTCTGTCTGCGGAGCTGAAAGAAGTAAAAAAGGACCTTGGCCAACTGCAAGAAAATTTGAAGACCTCAGATGATAAAAAATTGCAATTTGAGGGTCAGCTGAATAAGACAATCAAAAATTTAGCTACTGTTATGGATGAAATACAGAGTGTTCTCAAACAGGTAAGAATTGTTTAATTAAATTCTGGTTTTTATTATTGTAGACAAACTTCTGTAGACTAATTATTGAAACAAACACACCAATATAAAAACAATTTTGACGTGAATTCAGGGCAGGAATATCTTAACATATCTAGAGAAGAAGCTTAATGTTTGATTGAATATTTAAAGATAACAAATTAAATTAAATGTGTCTTTTTCCTTAACCTGCAACATATGTTCTTGACTTCAGTGTTTTTAAAAAGGCATAACTATTCATGTAGATCTCAAACTGTCTGAATGTTTTCCTGTCCTGATCTTGTCCAAATCTGCTCCTCTGTTTTACTGGTCAAGAGTACTTTCACAAGGCAGAATTCAACTATTTCAGTATGTAGGAGTATCTCAGTAAAATGAGTTTTAAGCAAAACCCAGAAGCTCCAGAGCATTTCTACCCTTCAGTTTTTCAGGAAGATCCTAGAATTGGTTGTAACTAACAGTTCACACAGTATCTTAAAGATACAAACAGTATCTGTCTCATAAAACTCATAAAGTATCTGCTGCTTTACAGTTTGCATGAGAAGTGTAGATTCTGCAATTCCTCTCATCCTGTCCCTTTTTCCCTTTGAAGGACGTGGTGAAGAACGAAGATAAAGATCAGAAATCCAAAGAGAACGGAGCAAACGTATGATAAACTGCTGCTGTTAGAAGAATGGTGTTACATAATGTAATATAAATCATGATACCAGAATGTATGGGAAGTGATGCATGTTTGATTTTAGTAGTATAAATATCTTAGTTCCAAAAGATGTATAAAGTTTTATGAATGTGTCTGCTCCAGAAGATTGCTTGTAATTCTTAGCATTCAAGTTGAGACACTCCTCGAGTGAAAATAATTTTGCATTGCGAAAAGTTTTAGGATGAACTTTGTTATAGTTTTAAGCCTAATAAAGTTCATCAAGGTAACAAACAGTAGCAAGTATTTAATTACCAAATGTTTTTCATTGAAGTCTAGTGAAATCAAATTTTTCATTATTTATAGACTTGCCATTTTTTGGTTTTTGTCTTTATTTCGGTCTAATTAGTCTTTTTAAATTCAAATATAAGTCACAAAGTAGCATGCTGCTTAATTTTACAAGTAAAGTTTTTTTTAAAAAACAGCTTCTTGGATTTTTTTTTTGTTTTCACTTGTCACAACTTTTTTTCCCTTCCAAATATACCTTTCTTTCCCAAAGCTGCTGTATTAAAGCCTTGTAATAATACAGCAGTTTGGATGAGTTAGAAAGCAATAGAAACCTACCAAAATACTGGTAGAGTTGTGAGATTTATATGAAAATACATGGGGCTGGTTTAAATGTGTTTCATTTGTGTTCACTAAATTGTTCTTACCTTTGGATTAATATAAATACTCCTTTTGAATAACAAATGCAGTCTGTTCGGATGTCCAGTTGGATGCCAGGCCAGCAGATGTCAGAATAATGCCTTACCTGGAGAAAAGCTGCCAGTGTCAGCTGCCTTGGGTTATGAAATTTGGACTGCCAGAGTGGGTGATGACTGCTGAGACTTCAGTCCAACCACAGCTGGATCCACAAGTGACTGTGCTGCATGTTGTAATTGCAAAGGAGCAGGACACGGTTGGTTTGTTGACAAGGGGTGAGGTGGCCTTTCTTTGTGCTCACACATCACCAGAGATGGAAACTCACAGGTTTGTGTGACTTCCTTGGCAAAGGCACCTTACTCAATGTGAAATATCAACACTTGTATTTTGGTGCAACTTTCAGGAAAATTAAGGGTTTGAAAGTTGGGACAGAAGTGTTTTCTTACAGAAATGGTTAATTTTAGCAGATGTTTTCTTTTTTAGCCTAGATGTCCTAGGTAACTAAATACCTGTTAGGAAAGTCCAAGTGCCATAAAATGTATGAATAACCTACATGGAAACTCATGTAGCTTTAATGAGATACACATTAAAATGCCTGAATTTATGTTCAAAAGAGTCTAAGCTGGTGCTTTTATCCCTTACCTTTCTTGGCTCTTTTGGGGCTAGACAAGTGAAATATCTTTCATTCAAGTAACATGCACAAACTTCCCCCTCATTCATCTCCTTTGAGTCATTGTATAATACCTGAGCTGTTCACAGTCCAGCAGGAAATACTATAAAAACACTAATTGTATATAAGCACACAGAAAATACATGCTTTAAAAATTGGAGATAACATCTCAGAATGATTGAATGAGGATGGTGATAAATTTATCTTATGGAAAGCATTATCTGTGGTGTACAGATGGTGTTAAATTCTTTTGTAATCAAATTCTATTTTTCACCTTTACCTTTGTACAGATTGTTGACAGCATGTTTAATTTTTGACGTTGAGCACCATTTGTGTAAATGGACTTGAAAAAATTGCATCTGAAATACTTTGTTCCTGAATTTTAGCAGTACATGTGAACATACAAGAAAATTAGTCTAGAATTTAAGATAAAAACATTTTAGGCACACTGAAACATCTGAAATATTTTGCTTGGGTATTTTTACCTTAAACTGCTGAGCTGGAAGCAGTTTTAGAACAAGCAGGCCTCCTCATCTCATTCAGTGAGGGCCCTGTGAGACACTTGCTAGAGTGATACAGATTTTTACAATATTTAAGAAAAAGAGTATTTGTTAGAATGACTGTAATCTTTATATTGATTTGATGTAATAGTGTTTCAGATACTATGTACAGTCTGCATTTATGTTGGAAAGGAAATTAAATGGGTAAAGAATAACAGGAAAACAACCAAGGAAAGGTTTTGCAACCTGCACAGAGCTTGACCAATGTCCTGAAGCACAAATAATCTGAGGGAGAACAGGCTCCTCTTACAGCCTGTGTGACTTGCTGGGCCAAACAGCACAAAGTTCTGTGTGTGACCCACACTGATGCTGTGTATTAGCTAAAGCTTCTTAGTGTTATTCCAGAAATAGAACTGATTCTAAGGAAAATTGAATAGAGTATCAGTAATGGGGGGTTGGAGAATCAGTCTTTATGTTTTGATTTATGAACCAAGTTTTTGTGTTTCATGTCCACGTTTCCCACCTTACAGTCTTTGTATTCTGAGTTTGTTATGTCCCAGCTACTGGCAGAAGGCTGCTGAAGGTGAGCCTTGGCATCCCACCTGTTTGGACTCCTTAACTCATCCCAGATGCTCAGTAGGAAGTGGTAAATCTTGGGCTGCTTTGTTCTGTAGAGAGCCCTACTACAGCAGGCCATAAATGGAACCTGATCTCTGTTTATAGACTTATTTCCCTCCCTTTTGCTATTTTGTCTAATGAGGGCAAATTAATGAGTTTAACCCTTCCAAAATGCCATTCAGCCCCGTGGATGTCTGTGAATGAGCTGAAGAAAGATCCAAGTGCCCCGTGCATGCAGGCTGGCCTAGGATAACACAGGCTCCAACATTATAAAGCCCAGTCCTGTAACATAACTTCATTTCAGTGTTTAACTGCTTTGAGAGAGGAATGGCTTCCAGTCCCTCTTTAATATGCTGTGTGAATGTGTTTGGACTTATGTAACAGTTAACTTTCACTGATCATTTTGTCAGGAATGTGCACAAAATGTGTTTTTTCTCTTGCTTTTCTGTACTGTTTGTGTACCCAGGTCAGGTTCTTACCTTGAATGCGTTTGTTCAGTGCAGTTTCTATTTTAAAATATAAAAGATAAAAGAATTCATTTGGAGTGACTGAGTCTTACAGCCAGCAGTAGGTTGCAGAATGTGTAGGTGGCACAGTCACTGCACTTACACTGCTACCTTCAGAGAAATGGGTCAAGCAGAACTTCAGCTGGGACCTGCACATTGCCATGGAGTGTGACAATAAAGATGCCATGAATAATGGATACTTCCACTCAGCCATCAGAACTGCCGGTGTTCCTCCAACAAGCTTTGATGCTTCTGCACACTGGGTCTCATTGATGCATTGCACAAAAGTTGTAGTAAAAAGCTCTAATAACAAAATGCATTGCTTTCAAGTAAAACCAATTTCCCTTATTTATTCATCCTCTATATAATCCACAGCACCACCATACAGAATGTAAACTAGAGCTTTGGAACACCAAATCTCACCTGACATTGTGTGTGTGGTGGCATAATTGTGTTTTGGGATGTTGCTTTTGAATTTCTAGGCATTTAATACCCGAACTTTTCTTGAAAATGTGATGCTGCTTTTGATTTCTTGTATCCAGCTGCTTTTGAATTGTCTCTAACAAGTGAAAACCAACTGGTTTGAGGGTTTGGATCAGGTGCCCCACAGCAGGTGTAAGAATCAGTACCTTTGCAGGTGTGATTTAATGATGCTCCAAGTTGTTGTATATAGTCAAATATTAGTTCAGCTCACTTTATTCTTTTCTTTAAAAGGACAGCAGAATAATGCTGCTGGGTAGATTTGTTGCATGCTGCAGTTTGATGTTTATTTGTAGCAATTTCCTGAGCTGGATTCCAGCCCAGTGACAGATTCCCAATGCTGGATTCCAGCCAAACTGACAGATTCCCAGTGCCAGGTGTTCTGATGGGAATCCTGAGCTGGATTCCAGCCAAACTGACAGATTCCCAATGCCAGGTGTTCTGATAGGAATCCTGAGCTGGATTCCAGCCCAGTAACAGATTCCCAATGCCAGGTGTTCTGATGGGAATCCTGAGCTGGATTCCAGCCCAGTGACAGATTCCCTGTGCCAGGTGTTCTGATAGGAAATGGGTTCCCAGGTTATTTTCTGAGGGACACAGTGCAGGGATGATTGACTGAGTGGCTGTTCCCATTTCATCACACACAGCTTGGTAGGGGGAAGAGTGGGGAGGAGGAAAAACTGCAAGGAATTCCAGTCTGAAATCTCCCCACCCTGCTTTTCAGCAGGTATCTTTCAAGTACCAATTTGCTTTATTATTTTGTTGCAACTTTTTTGGTGGTATACAGGATTTGAGTTTCAGTGGGGTTTTCTTCCCTGTATTGCTTAAATCTTTTCAGTTTTCCTGACACAGGATCATCCAGTTACATTCCTGTTTTATCATGCAAGGGGCAGAGACAGCTGGAGAAGTGCAGCCTTCATTTTTGGTCCCTTTTTAGCAAGGCTGGGTGGTAGCCAGCAGATCAGATGTAAAAAGCAGGAATTGCTGCCACATTTGTTGTAGAGATGAGCAGCTGCAGACAGAAGTACCTGGCAGTGCTGCTCTCAAGGACACACTTGTCTCACAGACCAAGCTGCTGTGCTGTAAAACACAGAGCACCAGGTGAAGGAGAAAAGGGAATTTTGCCTCCAGGTATCAGGTACATGCTGGGTGGATGCCTTGTTACATTCCCAGCTTGGACACTCTAATATTAAACAAACAGCAGAGCTGTGGAAGCTCTCTGAGCAGCTGGAAGGGCTCCTGTCTGTTCCACAGGAGGTAATTTATATCTCCCATAAAAGACTTGGAGTGCTATTCAGGTGAGTTAAACACTTCACTAACATTAAATGTAACTATTAGAACATTCATGTTACAAGTTGTGAAGTCTTGGGAAAGAGTTTGCAAAAGCAACTTCAGGGTGTTCATAAATAGAGAAAATGCTGCCTCTGGTGTAAAAAAGCCATGTATAATGTGACTAAACAGATGAAAATACAGATTAGCTGCTTACCACTATTGAACCTGATTTTTCTCTTCATGTTCCTCCTGAAATCAAGCTAAGAACTTTTTTTTCCTTTTTTCTTTTTTTCCTTTTTTTTCTTTTTTGAGTGGAGGGGTGATGTTTTCATTATAACAAGGAGAGGAAAAATGAGTGACTGTTGTACTGGGACATTTATGGATGGCAGCACATCTGTAAATTCTCAGACCATCCATGGCATCCAGTAATATGCTTGGAAAGAATGTGCACTCAGCATTTCCAGCCTGGTGATTTGAGCATGTAGTGATGGGCAGTACAATGCATAATACTGTTATTATTATATTATATATATATTATAATAGAGTCACACTATATCAACTCTGCTTTTGTCCATGGATTTCATGGACAAAATATATAATATAATAATATAATATAATATATATAATATAATATAATATAATATAATATAATATAATATAATATACTATAATCAATGTGACTTTTGGGTAGTAGTGGCTCGATATGTAGTATTGCTAAGAGGTGGCTGTGCAGATGATGTTTTGAGCAGTGAATTAATTTTGTTACCTACTTCACCCTTTAAAGAAAAGGAAGATTAATCCACTTAAGGTCTTATTTTCAATGCAGACAGTTGAAAAAAAGATTATTCTAATGCAACATGGAATTTAAGAACCTATAAAAATTCCTTAATAGCACAGTGAGTTGGACACCAGATCCCTCTGTGAAGGCAAGCTGTGCCCTTACCCTGTCTGGCAGGGATTTTGCAGGGTGAAGGAGAGGGTGCAGAGCTCTGCAGAACAGGAACAACCCGTGCCAGTGCTGTCACCAGCAGGCTGGGCAGGGCTGGAGCTTGGCCTGGGCTCTGCCGGCCCTTCCCCAGTGTAATCTGAGACAGGGCAGGAGATCTCCCCGCTCCTGGGGGAGAAGGGGAGGGAGCCTTTTGTCTCTGTGAAATCTCAGTGCAAAACAGAGGCAGGTTCCTCGAGCCCAGAGTGGGGCTTTCTGCGGGAAGAGAGCCCTGCCCTGGAGCTGGGAGCAGCGGGGACAGGGGGAGAGCTGGGCCAAGGCTTGGCTGCAGGGCAGAGGCACAGAGCCAGCGCTGGAGCCCCCCGGTGCCACCGACTTCACTGGATTTCACTCTTCTTCACTCTTCTGTCTGCATTCTGCGTGTGGGACCCCGATGGTGACATCTTCTCCTGTGGAGCTGCCACCAGAGGCCTCACCAGCTGGAGCACCAAACCACTCTGAGGGCAGGTTAACTTCTCCTCTGGCATTTTGTCACTTGGAAATCCTGACAGGCAAAAGCCCTGTGGCCAGGCTGCTGGGAAAGTGGTGAGCAAGCAGAGCATCAGCAGGACAGCTTTGTGCAAAGGGACAGCTTTCTGCAGAGGCACAGCTTTCTGCAAGGACACAGCTTTCTGAGAAGGCACAGCCTCCCCATCAGTCACACACTTGGGCAAACTGGGTTTGTGATGGCCTGGTGACTGCTGAGTGCACTGCAAGGGACACTGGGCCCTCGGCATTCAGGAGAAATGTGGTAGAAGCAGGTGTGCCAGGGTTCTGGTGTTTTGTTTCCTGGAAGAAGTGGCTGATTTAACGTGTCTGGAGCCCCAGAGTGAGATGAACTGCAAGGTGCATTCAGAAACAGTGGAAGACTGAATTAGGTTCATTCTTTGTGGATGTTTTAAGCAAAGCATTGGAAAGAACGCTGGGGCTGGATGGGATGGATTGAGTCAGCACAGAGATTCCTGAGACAGAGCTCCACAACGTGCTGCTGCTGCTGGAGAAGGTGAAAAGGTAAAGGGGGAGGGTGCAGGGCACAAAGGGAGGGGTGACAGCTGCCCACTGGGGCAGGCACTGCTACTCTGAAATCAGCAGCTGCTTTTAGTCTTACATCCTCTGGAAATGCTCACACACACACACACACACACCAAAAAAACCCCAAAAACAGCCCTACAAAATGATCCTTATGATCCTTTAAACCTTTTCTAAAAGTTTATAAAAGTGGTCATGATGAAATAGCTAAGAGGAAATCAAGCTCAGATGCATTCAAGTTGCTACCCTAAATATCTAAGTATTCACATTAGTATTTACTACATCATGCTGGTGAATGTTTATCCATAGTTTTCATTTGCTACCTGCAATTAGTACATGTGCAATTGACTGTTCTATTGACCTCTGCAATACAAAGAGACCAGGCTGCAATGAAGGGTTTGGTGTACACAGCAACTACAGCTGAGTGTTCTTAATGAAAGTTTGTCAAGAAAAGTCCTGTGAAATGTGATTGCAGAATACACCCACCAGCATCACAGTTGTGGGTCAGATTAAATTTCTGCTCCTGGTACTGACTGCTGCCTCACAGCCCGTCAGTTTCACTCGGGGCATTGGTTCTGGTCAGTAAATCCCTCCGCAGTTCGGTATGCAGGGGTCATTAACCCTGGAGTGTTTTACTCTCGGTCTGTCCTGCAGAATGCTGCTCTCTCTGACCGACCTCCAGCAGAGCAGACACCACCACAGCACCTCTGCAGTTCTCGCAGTTTTCAGAGTGCTGTGGGCATGGTCAGTGAGCACTGCTCTCTGTGGAAGGTGCCACAGGAGTTCTCACAATCAGCCTAGGGCAGGTGAGGGACACCCGAGCAGGGCAGCGCTGCTTTGTGCCGGCTCAGACATCAATGTTTGCATGGGAAGGGCTTTGTGCTTTAACTTTGCCAGGATAAAGGATAGGAAGCATTAACAACCCAACCAGGAATGCTGCAGTGGAGACATTCAGCTCTCCAGCTCAGCAGCAACTGCTGGGTGCTTGGTGAGGTGCAAACAAATCTCTTTTCACTTGGATTTCCAAGGGTTAGTAGGGATTTTCATAGCTGTTATGTTTATTTGTACTTTTCCCTGACTGCAGCTCTGCAATCCTCTCTGTCTAGGGAGGAATTATATCATAATTCATATCCATTCATATATCTTCATTCAATTCTATCTAGAAGTGCACTTCATTTCAAGCAGGACTGCATATTAGATCACAAAAGCTTTTTGCTGAAGCTAACTAGCAATTCTTCAAGAAAGAATTCAAAACTGCACTTTTTGTCAAAGCAAGAGAAATTGCCAACTTTTGGAAGACTGAGGAATTCTTAATGATACATTTAAAAACGTTTAACAGGAAAATATCTGATGTCTAGCCTGTGTTATCCTTGGCTAGCTCAACCTCATTATTATTTCTTAACACTGTTTAACTTCAATCACATCATTCTTTTTTTCCTGTTTCTGGTATTTACCCTTCTTTCCCAATAATTTGTATAGAACAGCCACTCCCAGTTGCAGCCCCATTTTCTGGCTATACAATTTCTCTCTTCCTCAGTCATTTCTCGAGCACTCTGCTAACTTCACTGAGCTGGTAACATCTGTTAATGCCAGCTGGAGTTCATTTCTCTAATCACAAATTCACCTGCTGCCCTCTTAACTCAATCCAGGTGAGGAGAGGAGTTACAAGGAGCCAGAGTGCTTTGTTGGTCTCCACCTAAAATGCAGTAACATCTATAGGTATGTTGGGAATGGTTCTCTCTTGTTCTAGTTAAGTTTTATATCACTGATGAAAAATTATGTTATTGCTGGTCTCCTGGGCATGATTTAGAGAACTTTACTCCATTGTTTTTACCTCCTCGTTCCCAGTAAGCTCTTTTCTGATGCTCAGGATGGCTAGCTGAATACAAATGTAAGGTCAGTAAATTAATTACATTATTTCCCCTATTGTCCTGCCTCTTGCTACAGTAACAGCCAAAGGGTTTCTTACAAGTTAGAATTCTCTCACTTGTCTCTGTGAATTTCACTTTTTCTGATAATTAATGTTGAAGTGATGTTTTCATGATTTTACTTAAATTTCTGGAAGCTTTACTGAAAAAAAAAATCTATTTGAATGTCTTTATTTAGGTAATTTTCTGATTTTAAATTATATATTCTATATATAATTTATCTTCTTTCAAAAGTCATCATAATGGCCATTTTTCTGCTCTGGATTACTTTTCTCACATTTCTTATATATATTTTGCTCTAGAAAAGCAAGTAGCAAGTTACACAACTAAAATGCAAAGGAGAATGTTTTATTGGGGTTTGGGTTTTTAAAAGAAACTGCCATATTTAAAAAATGAAGCTACTGGTATCAGATTTGCTGTCTGTATTTAACACAGAGATTTGACTGCATTTTTAATCTATCTGCTCTCATGTAACTATTTGCAATAATGAGAAATTCGAGCCACTTGGGTTTTTCACGTTTCCTGACCGAAGGCTGGGATGTTGGGAACCCAGCAGTGTGGTTCCTAGGAATCATTTCCTGCACGTGTAGCAAGAGCAGCATCTGCAAATTCCAGCAGCGTTTGTGAAATGGCACAAATACCTGGGTGTACCAGGTGCCAGAAACAGAAATCACTCAGCCTGCAACCTCTATTCTTGGTTGTGGTACGCGAAAAGAGTTGGGAACGAATTTCCAGACTCATGAGAACAATGAGCTTTTGAGGTTTTTCCTTTGAAATCCACCCCCAATTGTTTGCTGGGCAGCAAGGGGCGTTTGGCGCCGCAGTTGATGTTGCCCAGTCCCATTTCAGTGCAGAATTACCCAGACCCTGCTGTGTGCTGGGTTTAAAGCCCTGGGCACCCCGAATTCCTCCTCACTGCTTATATCAAGGAGCATTCCTGGCTGTTGTTTGTATCAGAAGGCGCTGTGGTCCCACAAATCGCTGCTCTTTATCCCAGCAGCTCAAATGAGCTTTGTTCTGGAGAAACACACCGGGGCACTGGAACCCTGACCCTGAGTCAGGTACACCCTGACTCATACTGGTCACCAGAACTTTAATCAAATAAAGGGAAACTTCAGTCCCAAAATCTTGTAACTAACACAAACTGCCCTGCTTTTTTCCCAGATAAAATCCAGCAATCTCTCTCTGATGGGGATCTCATGGGGTCAATGGTACACACAGAACTGGGTAGGAGCTTTTATATTGTGCTTGGGATGTGGAGGGGAAGGGAAAAATCACGGCAATTAGAATTTTCCTCAAAGGGTGAAGCTAATTTTAAAAACTCTTGATCTGATAACTGTAGGAATGCCGAGCATGTCCCGTGCTTAGCTGAGGTGTTCAGCCAATTGTTCACCAAACGAGGGGCGAACTGCTCCGTACCACCCTTCCTGTCCAGCCCGGGGGGATGCACGCAGGGAATTGGAGCGGGGGACTCCCAGCTGAGATTAGATACAATTACAAACACTCGATTTGAGCGCACTGACCTCCTGAGCCTTCGCAGAGGGAAACTGGGGTGACAGTCCAGGAGAATGTGTCTCAGTAGCTGCTTGCTTGCTGTCCTTGGTGGTCACCAGCTCCTGTCTGCCATCCCAGCCTGCCTGCAGCATTCTCCTTGTGCCTGAACCGCCCCACTCCTTTGTGGTTCCTGTCGAGTAGAAGAGAAAATACCAAAATGAAACATTTTTGCTTGGCCTATAGAGGCTGGATTTGCTGTCGGTTCAGCGTCTCTCTTGCAGAACTATAAATTATTCACAAGGAAAGTTAGGAAAGCCCTGTCCTTTCCAGCTAGGCTGGAGCTGGGATGGGCATGCAGACTGGGACTTGGTCACCTTTTCCAGTGAGGGCTCTGCTGCAGGCTGGAAATTTCTGTCTCTTGGGAAATATCCTGTTGGCGAGTGACATTGGAAGGATGCACTTTTCTGTGAAGTGTCAAGTTTTATACGTTTTTGCTGGAGGTATTGAATGAACTGGAATGAGATCAGACAAGGAATTGTTTTGTGCTCTTGTTTGTGCATTTGTAGAGTTATCTGATAGGTCTAACTCCTCACTGTTCCTTGTGTGACTCCCAGAGAACATGAGGAGAAGAGAAGCAGCTAAAAAATGGGCAGATAGTCCCTGAAGCTGCTTTGAAACTCAAACAGAATCCTTATGATAAGAGAGGCATGGAATTGAATCTCCTGAAAATGTTCAGCAACAGGTTAAGGAGTAGAGAGCAAATGTTCTGCAGAACTGTGGCCTGCAATAACTTTTCAAAGAGCTGGCACAGCTTTGGGGAAGTCTATTAGTGCCCAGGTGTGACTGATTTAGTGTGCTCAGCAGGCCCTGCCTGGCTGTGGAGCCCCTCATGCTCAGCTTCTCTGCACCAGCTTTTGGGAAGAGTTTTGAAGTGCCACTGGTACACCTGGGCCCCACCTACAGCTGGGTATGTGAGCATTTCCTGCTTATTAGCAATTCTCAGAGTTGTTTAAAATGAGAGGCAGATTCCTGTCCCCAAGCTACCTGGCAGCCTTTTAGGACAGATTTGTTTTCTATTGAGTAATTTAAATTTGTGCACAGCAGTGAATGTCAGCGTCAGCTCGGTTCTGCTGCACATGTACTGAAGCCACAATGAAACTGTGGCCCTGTGAGCAGCTGGTTTCTGTCTGGCCTACAAAAGGTCACTGCAGTGGGTATGGTGTGTCAGGCGCTGCAGTTGCACACAGGAACACACAACTTTAGTGAGGATGGCAGCTCAGCAAGAGGCTGGGATGTGCCTCCTGGCATTCCTTTCTTTTGGAGCCCCTTTCTTCCAGAGTCTTTCATCCTGCCCCACAAACAGGGATTTGTTTGTAGGTTTGCAAGTCAAAGGAGAATAATTTTGTATTTCAATGGTGCTGTTTCTGTGAAATGTAACTCACAGCATGTGGTCATGCTTAGCTGGTTAGGATTATTTAGAATTCTGTGTCTTTTTATTTTTATCAGGCCTGAAAAGAGTGGGTGACTTAAAATGGTGCTTTATTTTGCACTGCTGTGGAT